GGGTTGTTCTCTGGATTCTCAATTCGATTCCATTGATCTATGTGTCTGTCATTGTACCAGTACCATGCTGTCTTTACCACTACGGCAGTGTAGTATAGGATTTTCTAGGAAAGATGGGCAATCTCCTTCTGTGCCATTAACTAACTGCCTCTGAAAATTCACCGGAGGTTTCAGCTATGGGTCATTCTGACTCGGCGGGACACAAAAACAACAGTCTTTATGGAGGGATCTCTGGTGACCTAGTACATGGGGAATTGTGCTGCCAACCCAAAGGTCACAGCCTTCTGGTGGTTCAAATCCAGCAGCGGCTCCAGGGGAGAAAGGTGGGTGATCTCCAGTGTGATTTCTAGCAGTGAAATCAGTGACAGATCAGCAATGAGGCAGCTCTGACTCCAAGCCAGCGTGGTTAGGTTGGTTTTATCTTGGTTTGCATATGATAATTCCTTTACATTGTGTCTCTTCATGTATTTATTTTTATTTTTATGGAAACAGATAACTAGATTTTTCACCCCCAGCGCCACTTAGGTAAATTCTGCCATCCTCTGAACACCAGTGCTACCAGTCACCAAATAAAGTGAGCACTCACCCATTGTGCCAGTAGGGCTCCTTACAATGGCAAAAAGAAACGAATACAAGAAGTTAAAAAGAGTGTGAGATAGAATGAAATGACCCATCTATGTGTGATAAAAGAAAGAATAGAAGAAATACAATCTTTTTAAGGGTTTTCCAGAATTAAAGTAATACATTTTGGATTGGCCATGGAGGAACATGAGAAGTATAAATTAATCCACAATTATACATATTACAGGGAGATATCAAGCAAACTGAACCTTGTTGCTGTTGTTATGTGCCTTCGAGTCACCTGTGACTCATAGCGACCCTATGTACAACATCCCTAAACTCTGCTCTGTCCTGTGCCAATCGCACTGTCTCTGACACTTCCATCCCGATTACCCCAGTCACTGAATCAATCTACCTCATAGAGGGCCTCCCCCTCCTGCGCTGTCCCTCCACCCTCCCAAGCATGATGTCCCTCTCTAAGGACTGGTCCCTCCTTACAACATGTCCAAAGTATGTCAGATGATATGGACAAAAACAAAGCTAGGGTATACTCTGGCCACTTAGAACTTCCTGCCGGAAGGTTACAAACACAAGCAGTCATTCAAATAGTGGCACTATTCAAAGTCAGCCTCTAGGTGTGGCCTGCGCTTCTTTAGACTGGGGGTTTGGGGACCTGGCATTTGCTCAGAGCAGACTGGAGACAAAGGAGATGGGAGGAGACTGGTTTTGCAGGAAGAGGTTCCCCTTCTACCTAGTTCTCAGTCTTCTGCTTCAAGGTAAGAAAGAAACAACAGGACAATTTAGGAGTAAGGGACGGGAAATTAAAAACCTCATTTCTTTCACATTTGCCAGCCCTGGAGATGAGCTAAAATGACCATGAGGAGAATTTTCCATAACTAGGTTATCACAATTGCTTTCTCTTCCATTGCTCTGTGTTCATCTACCTTTCTATGCACAGGGATGTTTATTTATTTGCAGTCTGAGACTCATCCTATTATAGCAATGTACCTTAACCATGTACTTAACATACTTTAACCATAACTTCCTCTTCCACCTATGCATCAAGGTGAGCTAAACCAGGCAAAATGACAGAGGGGAACAGAGCAAGGGTTGACACGGAGGAACTCTGTATCGTGGGAAGAATATGGGAGTTGGAAACAGCAGACCTGGGTTATCATTTTGGGCCCTCCCTTCACTAATTCTGTAGCCTTGGGAGAACTGCTTTACATCTCTGAGCTCAGTAAAGCAGGATCCACCTGGAGGGCTATGAGGACTGTATGAGAGAAAACATGGAGCACAAGGCCTGGCATTTAGTGCCTACCAACAAATGTCCTCTCTCCCCTCAGGTCATTCCTTGTCTCTTGTACACAAGGGCAGGGAAAGGATGGGGCCTGAGGTGTCTTTGGAGCTCAGTTGCAGAGCTCTGTGAATTGTACACCTGCTGTAAGCAAGAGAAAACATAAATGTATCCTTAGAACTTACCAACGATGGTGGACAAATGAACATCCATTGCTCATAGAATGTGTCAAAGATTTGCCTGATTAGCACAGTGGCATTGAAATGAATAAGAACAAATACCTCTGGCAAAGAGGATATTTTTAGTTGTTGCTCCACCAACAAACCTTTGCCAGCAGAATACTAAATTCTTTGTTAATCAGAAAAGGGAGGGATGTCTCATAGTTGTTTTATTTGCATCTCTCTGACAGCTAGGGATTTTGAGCATTTCTTCATGTTTTTGTTGGCCACCTGAATGTTTTCTTTGGTGAAATGTCTGTTCACATCCTGTGTCCATTTTGCAATTGTGTTGTTTATCCTTTTCTTGTTGAGGTGCTGGAGTATTCTATAAATTTTAGACATCATCTCACCCCAGGAACAATAACAAAGGTCAACAGAGCAGCAAATTACAAATGCTTGCAAGGTTGTGGAGAGATTGGAACCCTTATTCACTGCTGTTGGGAGTGTAAAATGGTGTGATCCCTATGGAAGGCAGTTTGACACTTTGTCAAATACAGTTTTACCCAGTAGTTCCACTACCGGGAAAGAAACCAGAGCTGCCACCAAAGCATATATATAGATAGAGATAGATAGAGATAGAGATAGGTATATAGAGATAGAGAGATAGAGATATGTAGATATAGATATATCCATGTTTATTGCTGCATTATTCACACCAGCAAAGAGAAGGAAGCAACCTAAGCGCCCATCAACAAACAAATGGATAGAAAAGCTACGGTAAAGTCACAAAATGGAATACTATGCAGCACTGAAATACAAGGATCTTGTAAACTATTATACAATATGGGTGACTCTGGAGGACATTATGCTGAGTGAAATATCTTAGTCACAAAAGGACCAACATGAGGAGTTTGGAGGTAAACTAAGAGAAGAGGGGATAAATAATGAACACTGCATTGGAACAGATGAAGGAAAGAATTGTTTAAAAGGAATATGTGCTTAGGCATTATTTATATCATAAGAGTCCAGAATAAGAGGTAAATAGCAAAGTGGTACTGGGGGGTTGGGAGGAGGAAAGTAATTGTGCAGCAATGAATGAATGAAAATCCAATTTCTCTATAAACTTTTATTAAAATCAAAATTGCTTAAAAGGGAAGGGATGCAACACTTCAGAAGACTCCAGTTTACTGCTGTAGGGGTGATTCTGTAGTAGTGGTCCTCCATGTGGCTTCTGAGTCTACAAATAGTAACAGAGAGAGTGTCCATTGTTATCCCCAGAACAGCCGGAGGATCCAAACCACAGAGCTAGGCTTTAGGCTAGCAGTGGAACTCACTGCTTGCTGTTGTTAGATGCTGTGGAGTCAAATATGACTCCCAGTGACCCTTTGAACAACAGATCTGGAACCCTGTCTTATCCTGTGCAGTTCTCATTACCTCTGACATATATGAGCCCACTGCAATAATCACTGTGTCAATCCACCTGGTTGAAGGTCTTCCTCTCATTCCAAACCCTCCACCTTCCAAATATGATGTCCCTCTCCAGGGACTAACCTCTCTTAACAACTCTCCTAACTACTCTCAACTCAGCTACTAGAAGGCTGATATTAGGGTTAAGCTGAAAGGAGGTTGGTGCAGTTACGGTTAAAACAGATGTTTTCTCAGGGGCCCTGGGCTGTAATCCTAGCTGAGGGCTAACATTGCCTCAAGCTTCAGTTTGCATACAGATTTGAGCAGGTTTTACATAGAGACAAAAACATTAGAAAGGAGGCAAAAATCCCAACCCAAGTTACCTCGTTAGCGTCCATCATTTGCCTTGCAGCAGGGTCCGTCCTTGCCCGAAGGGCTCAGCATGTTCAGGGCTGTCGGCGGCCCCCTCCTCATCCTCCTGAGCTGTAGAACACAGCACCATCAGACAAGCTCGGGTTCAGAGCAAGTCCCATTTCTGCCTCTTATTATCTACATGATCTTGGAAAGTTAATTCAATTTACTGTACCACTGTTTACTCATTTATCACATGAGTATAAAAATAGTACCTGCCTGTTAGTGCTTTAACAGGATTACATGAAATGACCCATTTAAAACTAGACTAGGCTCAGTGTTGTGAAGACAGAACTAACGGGTCATTCACCCTCCGGCATGTTTTCAGAGGCTATAAATTGCGCAGGAGGAGATTGCCGATCTTTCTCCTGTAAAACAGCTGGTGGATTCAAACCGCCTGCCTTTGAGCTGGCAGTGCAACTCCTTACCCACTAAGCCACCAGGGCTCCCTGACTCATTTAAAGAGCTGAGAATATACCTGGTGCATAGTAAGTATCAACTCAGACTCACAGTGACTCCTTGTACCAAGAATGAAACACTTCCTGATCCTATGCCGTCTTCTCAATGGCTGCTGCGCTTACGTCTATTGTTGGAAACCCCTGTGTCAGCCTGTCTTCCTCACTCACTCTCTAATTTACCAAACGTCATGTCTTACTCCAGAAGCTGGTTCCTTTTGAGAACATGTCCAAAGTTATGTGGGACAAAGTCTCATCATCCTTCCTTCTAAGGAGCATTCTGGTTGTCATCTTCCAAAAGATATTTGTGTGGTTTTGGTTTTGTGGATTTTTTAAATTGTGACAGCAAGTAACAATAACAGCAACAATTGTGATTTTAACAAAAGTTTACAGAAAAGTTGGATTTTCATTCATTCATGATTCCAATTTTCCTCTCTACCCCACCTCCCACTGTCCATGGTATATTCACTATTCTTCACCAACACCACAATTCAAATGCAGCAATTCATCTTCTCCATTCCTCCTTATTCATTGTCCAGCTTTCACATGCTTTAGAGGCACAGGAGTAGCATCCGCTTTCTAAACAACATGCCTCTGGAAACTCTATGAACTTTGATGAATGTCAATAGTTACAGAAAGGCTTCAGATATTTTTTCACAGGGTCACTATGAGTCTTGCTCGACTAGATGGCAATCAACAACACAACAGCAAGAGGCAGAAGAAAATATCACAGCTTGGACCAGGTGCACCTTAACCTTTAATGCAACATCCTTGCTTTTCAGCCCCTAAAAAGGCTTTAACAGAAGATCTGTCTACTGTAGTATATTATTTGACTTCTTCACTGCTGCTCCAGTGAGTGTTGATTTTAGACCCAAGTAAAATTCTTGAGAACTTCAACCTTCTCTCCACTTATTGTAATGTTGTTTATTGGTCAAGTTGTGAAGAGTTGTGTCAAGGTGCAGTGCATACTGAAGATTAGCTATAATAACTAACAGGAAGTCCTTGGGTGGTGAAAATGATTGAGTGCTCGGATCCACCCAAAGGTGCCATGGAATAAAGACCTGGTGATCCATTTCTAAAAGATCGCAGTCATTGAAAATCCTGTGGAGCCAGATTCTACTCTGAAATCCATGTATCATTTTTGTTTGTGTCGTTACTGTTGGCATGGACTGCACAGACTTCTGCTTCAGGACTCGTCTCAGGGCGGGAACGTGGGAATGTCTCACACATTCTGTGTCTACTGCAGGACGGGGCAGTACTTTCACCATCAATTGCTCAGGGTTTGGCCAGCATGGCGTGAACTCCACTGCTCTGGATCCAGTGTTCGACAGAAAAGCCTTCCGTCCAGTCACCAACTTCAGCAACCCCACCCGAGTCAACATCTCCTTCACCCTCTCTGCCATCCGGGACGTGGTAAGTGCCTGCTTTCTAGCCCCTCCTTGTTGTCCTTAACTTTTCCCCAGGCCTAGCCGAGACCACCTCTCAAAGGCCTTAACTACATTGCAATTTACTCTGCAGTTGCCACGTGCACTTATGGGGATCTTGTGGAAGCTCTGTGCAGGTTGTTGTTGTTGTTGTATGCCATCAAGTCAGAACCGACCCACAGCTGACCCTCCAGTGGATTTTCAGAGGCAGGAAATTGAACAGGGGGAGACTGCTCATCCTTCTTCTGCAGAGGAGCTGGTGGATTTGAACCACATCCCTTTGGAATTGCAGCGCAGCTTTTTACCATCAAGCCACCAGAGCTCCTTCTGTCCAGTTTATCAAGAGGAAATGAAACATCATAAAGAATTTTTTTCTCTTCTTAACCAGAGATTCTTTATTGTAGTTACATACCCGTGGCTGTGCGTGTAACCACGGTAATGTCTTCTGGTTATATTTTGATGAAGGTTCCAATTGGATGGAGGGCACTGGTCTTTGTAAAGCTTCCTAAGTGATTCAAGGCTGAGAAATGCCGTTTTAACCCAGTCCAATTGTGAGGCGTGTAGTGATCAAACTTCTGTCTTTGGTCTATAATAATGGCTTTTTATCTGACCACAGCTTCACTGTGTGGGTTAATAAGTGGAGAGAACACATTTATTACTGGCAGCATGCTAAAAACAGGCAATTCTTTTTGCAGGATGAACAGCTTCAGCTCTTGTCATCATTCCTTTGGCTGGAAATGGTATGGTGAATGGCTTATTCTCTCCTTTCATTAGTAGTCAGGAAGGACTTTAACCAAGATGTGTGATCTTTTATATACCAAACAACACAGGTTTAAAACACTAGAAAGAGACGTTGAAAAATCCATCATCATTGTAAGAGGCTTCAATATGTGTGCATCTGCTTCTATCACATTTCACTTTATTGTTTTATGCAAATATTGCATTTTTTAAAAAAGTCAAGCTTTGTAGCAACTCTGAATCAAATAAGCCTTGTTGTTGTTGTTGTTGTTGTGTGCCATTGAGTCGCTTGTGACCATAGCTACCCTGTGTACAGCAGCTCTGAACCCTGCCCTGTCCTGAGCCAGTCTCACTGAGTCCAACACACCAACCCCCATTGCCCCAGAAACTGTATAATCCATCTCATGCAGGGTCTTCCTCTCCTGCTCTGTCCCTCCACCCTTCCAAGCATGATGTCTTACTCTAAGGACCGATCCCTCCTGGCCACATGCCCAAAGTATGTGAGACAGAGCTTCAAAATCCTCACCCTCAAGGAGACATGGGGTTTCATCCTCTCCAAAACAGACCTAATTTGTTTTCTTGGCAGTCCATGGAATATTCAAGACTCTTCTCCAGCACCACAATTCACATCAAATAATCAATAGGATATACTCCATCTCTCTGTGAAATTTTGATAATTCTTACACTATTTCAACATTTTAATAGTACTATTACACACATAATAGATCACATTATGGTGCAAACATCACTTTTATATGCAATGGGAAATCAAAAAAATCCATGTGGCACACTTTATTTCAATGTTCACTTTACTGCAATAGTGTGGAATTGAGCCGCACTGCTTTCAAAACTCAGGGAGAAGAAAAGCAAATATACAGTGTTTTTTTAAGTACAATTAAGAAGATTTATCTAACCTACAACCAGGAAAAAATAAAATAGAATAGTGGGACCTTCTAAGAATCAAATCTCTATGCACATCAAAAAACTTCTCCAGCAAAGTGAGAAGGAAACTCACAGAGAAAAAATATTTAGCAATCATATAGCTAAAGGACTTATATCTAAATACTCCAGTACCTCAATAAGGTAAACAACTCAATCACAATATGATCATGAATCAACTTAACCACACATGTTATAAACAGAGAGACTTCACCAAAGATGACAGCAAACAAACACATGAAGAAATGTTCCAAATCCCTAGCTTTCAGAGAGATGCAAATCAAAATAACTATGAGATATCATCTCATCCCAGCAACAATAACCAAGTTCAACAGAGCAGCAAATAACAAATGCTGGCAAGGTTATGAACTCTTATTCACTGTGTAAAATGAACAGGACAGCCACTAAGGAAAGCAGTCTAGCACTTTCTCAGAAAGTTGGAAATAGAAATACCATTTGATCCAGCAATTCCACTAGTAGAAATATACCTTAAAGAAATAAGAGCTGTGACTCAGACAGAGATATGCACACCCTTGTTTTTTCCTGCATTATTCACAGTAGCAAAGAGATGGAAGCAACCCAAGTGCCCATCAACAAAGGAATGGCTAGGAAAACTATGGTACATTCACAGAGTGGAATACTACACATCAATGAAAAATGATGAACTCATAAAACAATATACAACATGAAGGATCCCAGAGGACATCATGCTGAGTGAAATATCTCAGTCACAAAAGAACAAACACTGCATATCAGCACTGTTATGAAATAGGACAGGCATGGTGGGGAGATAATAGGAAAAGAGTGGATAAATAATGAACACTGACCAAAAGGAATATGTTTTTGTTAATATGCCATCAAGTGGCTTGCAACTCATAGCAACTGCATGTACAACAGTTCTGAACTCTGCTCTATCTTGAACTAACCTTATTGTCTGACACACCTATTCCCATTAACCCAGTCACTGAATCAATCCATCTCAACCAGGATCTTTCTCTCTTGCACTGTTCCTCCACCCTCCCAAGCATGAAGTCCCTCTCCAAGGACTGATTCCTCCTTGCAACATACCCGAAGTATGTCAGACGAAGTTTCAGAATCTTTGCCTCCAAGGACCAGCTTGGTTTCACCCTCTCTAGGATGAACCTGTTTGTTCTCCTGGTAGTCCATGGTATAATCAATACTCTTCTCCATCACCATAGCTCAAAGGTATCAGTTCTCCTATCATCCCTAGTCATTCTCCAGTTCTCTGATATATAGCAAGTAATTGCAAAGATCATGGCCTGGATCAGGCACACCTTAGTCTCCAGATTGATGACAGCAGATTTTCCCAGTGAAATTCATCTTTTGATTTTTTGGTTACTGGTACTAAGAGTGTTGATTGTGGAGCCAAGCAAACTGAAGCTGTTAACAATCTCAATCTCTTCACTGTCTATCATGATGCTGCCAGTCAGCCCAGTGGTGAGAATCCTCGTTTTCTTGATATATAATTAGGTATTATATGTTTGACAACAATCTGGAACAAAGGGTGCATTGCAGGATGGGTTAGGGGAGGGTCAAGAGAAGGGAGAAAGAAAATGTACAACAATGAAAAAATAAGATTGATCTAATAAATATTATCAAACTAATAATCCATTATATATATATATATAATATTTTCTGACTCACATGGAATATCCTTCAAAATGGACCATGTTTTTTGTGATAACACAAATCTCAACAAAATCCAAAATCAAGAAAGTACAAATTTCCTAGATCATAAGGATAATTCCCCCAAAATCTTTTTACTTGAGAATATAAATTTAAACTTCCAAATACTTGAAGATAAAGAGAAACCAAAGCAATCAAGTAGATGCTATGAATTAAGTAGAAAGGAAAAATGCACCCCCATGTTTATAGCAAAGAGATAGAAACAACCCAAGTGTCCATCAACAAATGAATGATAGAGAAGCTGTGATATATTCACATAATGGAATACTATGCAGCACTGAAAAACAAGGAACTCATGAAATATTATACAACATGGGTCACTCTGGAAGACATTATGCTGAGTGAAATATCTCAGTCACAAAGGACAAATACTGCATAATGCCACTGTTATAATACAGGACTGACATGTGGGTCAAGGGGAAACTAAGAGGGAATAAATAATGCACACTGCATTGAAACAAATGAGGACTAGAACTGCTTAAAAGGAATATATGATTAGGTATAATTTTATAGAAACAGTCCAGAATAAGAGCTGCATAGTAAAATGGACTGGCGGGAGGGGAGATTGTACAACAATAAAAAGATTTTTTTTTCAAAGAGAAAAGCAAACTGGAGGCGCAGGGAGGAAAATGTGCAACAATGAATTAATAAAAATCCAAGTTCTCTATACTTTCTTTGAAATCCCAATTTTTTTAAAAAAGAAAGAACTCTGCATTGAGAAATCTGCAGAATGAGGTAATTCAGAAAAGTTTGTATCATAAACACATTGACTTAAAAATTAAAAACAAAATGAAGGTCAATGAAATACACTTCCAACTTGAAAAGCCAGAGGCAGTTTTATAGACTGAAGTGCATCCCCCAGAATACACATTGTCTTTTGTGATGGGATCCTTGGTAGCATAGTGGTCAAGCCTTGCCTGCTAACAGAAAGGTCAGCAGTTGTGACCCACCAGCTACTCATCAGCAGGAAGATGAGGGAGTTTGCTTCCGTAAAGATTTACAGCTTTGGAAACTCTACAGAAGTTCCACTCTGCTCTACAGAGTTGCTGAGTCAAAGCAGACTAGATGGCAATGGAGTGGGATTTGTTTTAAGCTCTTAATTAAAATCTCATTTGGGGAAAAAGTTGCTTATCAATTAGACAGGACTAGCGCTGAGGGTCTTGACTCAATCTCCTTTGAGATAGATATAAAAGATTTTTTTTAAAAACCCAAACAAAAGAAAGCCAGTAGGAAGTAGCAATAGAAGAGGGGAAATGCCAAACCATGATTGCCCAGGAGCAGAAGCTCCCAGAGAAAAAGACCTTCCTCCAGAGCCAATGGAGGGAAAGAGCCTTCTCCTGGATAGAACAAGGTTTAGATCTGTTGTTAATAGCGTCACGATGAGACATCATTGATTCAATTGGTGCCTAACAATAACAGTGAGCTTTAGTGATGCAGTCTGTAGCGAAGCTGCATTTCTAACCCACAGGCTGTGTGTCTCCAGAAGTATGAATCCAGGAGTCTCTCAGTGGGAGAAAGAGGAGCGGTCTCCTGGTATAATTAACAATCTCAGAAACATGATGGAACGTTACTGTGAGTTGAAATGGACTTAATGGTAGTGAATTTGAGATTTTAAGCGGTGAGAAAGGAGTTTCTGTTTGTCAAAACCACCTGCTTGTGGTATTTCTGTTGCAGAGCACTAGATAGCTAATACAGGCAGGCAATAATGGAAAGACTGTAATAATCACTTGACCCGGCTCTCACAAGGTGGCTCCCCGGAGGAGAGGCACCGGATCTCTAGCGCCATCTGGAGTGACCAACCGTCAGTGCCCCAGGATTGATAGGTGTCTCAGGGTATGGGACTAAAATGCTAAAACCAACTATATTGTTGTGTTATGTACTGGAATAGACTCATCGTTGATCCTCCAATTAGTTTTCAGAGGCAGTTAATAGCACAAGAGGAGACTTCCTATCCTTCTCCCGTGAAGCAGCTTGATGAATTCAAACGACATGCCTTTGGGTTGACAGCACAATTCCTTATTGTAAGCCACCAGAGCTCCCGAAAACCAATTAAGTCCAGGACAAGCCAAATGAGTTCACCACTTTACCTACTGAAGCCAAATTTCCATCTCAGCTAGATGTCCCATAACAATTTTGAGTGCACAGTGAAGTTTCAGAAGCATTGGCTAGTACAAAGTTTAGTCTAGAACAAACAGAGCCTCCTACTGTTTATGGCTCCAGAGATCACAAGCAGCTACCTCAAAACTACCCTGAAATGAGGCAAACCCACCCAAAGTTGGATAAGCAACACCTACGGTTTCCAGAAGGTTGCCAGACTTGAAAGGAGTACTCACCCGTGAAAGGAAGACCACTTCCTATTGACTTCAAGGGATCCAAGGGCTCTTGTTCAAGGTCTCTGCAACAAAGGCTGGTAAAAGGGGCCTAAAGACAGTTGATATTTTATTAGAGAGGAAGACCTCCAAGATGTTGGATTGACACATTGACTATTACAATAAATTTGAACATGGCAGAGATTGTGGGGACAGACCAGGATCAGGCAGGCTGTCAATCTATTGTACATAGAGTCACGATGAGTCAACAGTCAACAGCACCTTACAGCAACAATACATAATAACCTTTGAACAACACCTTCCCACGTACCTTACCTTCTTTCATATCAATTGTAACTGGAATGTGCAGAGATATAGAATGGAGAATAAAAAGGGAAGAATTCACTCAGCATCTCTCAAACTGAAAAACAAATTCAAGCCTCAAGTTGCAGTACTTAGAAATGCTATGGGCAAAATCTTTAATTACCCAGAAAACACCAAAAAAAAAAAAAGATGTAGGGAATACATAGGGACTATCACTGTACCAAAAAGAATTGGCCGGCACCGAAATATTTCAGAAGGTATCATATGATCAGGGAGCTCCAGTGGCCTAGTGGTAAGATGCTGCACTGCAATCCCCAATGCATGCGGTTCAAGGCCACCAGCCACTCCACAGGAGACGAATGGGCACTCTCTGCCTGTGTGATTAACTGTTTCTGAAAACCCATCAGAGAGTCAGCTATGGGTCGGCTCTGAATCTACAGTACACAACACAACAACACAACCACATGATCAAGAGCCAATGATAATGAAAAAGTTCAAGATGCAATGAAGTAATTTGCAAAAAAAGAAGGCTCCAGGAATTGATGGGATACTCACATGTTTCAAATGACAGATGCCACCCTGGATGTACTACTCATCAGTCTATGCCAGGAAACTTGGAGGACAGCTGCCTGGCCAACTGATTGGAAGAGATCCATATTTGTTCCCATACCCAAGAAAAGTGATCCAACACAATGTGGAAATTATCAAATAATGTTATTAGTATCACATGCAAGCAAAATACTGCTGAAGATAATTCAAAAACATCTACAACAGTGCATAGACCAAGAACTGCCAGATGTTCAAACTGGATTTTAGATGAGGCCAAAGCACTAGGGATATCATTGCTGATGTCAGATGGATCCTGGCTGAAAGCAAAGATTACCAGAAGAATGTCTAATTGTGCTTTACTGACTATGCAAAGGCATTTGACTGTGTGGATCATAACAAATTATGGCTAACACTGAGAGGCATAGGAATCCCAGAACACTAAATTGTGCTCATGTGAAACCTAGACCTAGAGCAAGAGGCTACTGTGTGAACAGAGCAAGAAAATACTACATGGTATAAAATTAGAAAAGGGGTACATCAGAACTGTATCCTTTCTCTGTACCTATTTATTCTTCAGGCTAAGGAAATTGAGAAGAATATTCTAGTCTCTATGAAGAAGAATATGGCATCAAGATTGGAGGAAGACTCATCAACAACCTCAGTTACACAGATGACACAAACTTGCCTGCTGAAAGTGAGGACTTAAAGCACTGGCTACAGAAGGTTAAATACTGCAGCTCTCAATATGTATTGCATCTCAACATCAGTAAAACAAAGATTCTACCCTGTGGAACAACATCATGATAGAAGGAGAAAAGATTGAAATTGTCAATGACTTCATTTTGCTTGGATCCTCAATCAATACCCTTGGTATCAGTAGTCAGGATATCAGGAGACATATTACACTGGGAAAGTCTGCAGTCAGAGAGCTTTCCAAATTATTGAGGTAGATGTCAGTTTGAGATAGGGTGCAGATCTGTTGTTCATAGAGTCTCTATGAGTTGTACTTGATTCAATGACGCCTAACAACAATAGCCTTTACTTGAAGTCCTTGGACAGTATAAACTATTAACATGTTTGGCTGCTAATCAAAAGATTGAAAGTTCAAGTTCATTCAGAGGTATCTCTACAGAAAAGTCTAGAGATCTACTTTTGGAAAAGCAGCCACTAAAAGATCTATAAGAAGGAGCTCTGGTGGCTTAGTGATAAGGAATTGCACTGTCAACCCAAAAGTATACGGTTCGAATCCACCAGCTGCTCCTTGAGGGAAATCTCCTCCTATATGATTTATTGCCTCTGAAAACCCACTGGAGGGTCAGTTATGAGTTGGTTCTGACTTGACAATACTCAACAACAACAACAACAACAACAGACCTATAAAACAAATTCACTGCCACTGAGTCGGTAGCAACTCATAGTGACTATCCTGTTTCTAGGCCTGTGAGCACCTTGGTGGTGCAGTCCATAGGGAGTTGCATTGCTAGTCCAAAGGCCAAGTCTCTCTGGCAGTTTGAATCCATCAGTGGCCCTTTGGGAAAAAGACAGACATTCTCCTCCCACTCGATTAACAGCCTTGAAAACTCAGGGAAAGGTCAGCAGGGAGTTGGTTCCAACTCAACAGCAATGAGCTTGAGGTTTGTTTGTTTGTTTGTTTTCAATAAAATTGGTTTAATAAAGTTAAAAAAAACCCACAATGATGAAAGGTAAAAAACATACATAATCTTGAAAATTATACGTATTTTTACTCTTGATAGTCACGAATGAGGAGATCAGCATATCCTTAAATAAAGATATAGGAGCTGCAACTACAATCCCAGAGGCGCACGGTTCGAATCCACCAGATGCTCTGCCAGGAATCTCCTCCTGTACCAGTCAGATCTGATTTGACGGTACACTCACACAAAAATAATAAAATTTTTTAAAAAAGATATAAAACAGGTTATCATACACAAAACATTTTCCGTTACATTTGCTGTTTCATTCATTCACTTCCAAGCTTCAGTTTTTAAGGGTTTTGTTTTGTGTTGTTGTTTTTTTAAGCTCTACAGAGCACGCGCGGCCTTAGAACAGATCTCATGCAGTTTATTTGTTCCTATCCCAAAGAAGGGTGACCCAACAGAGTATGGAACCTATAGAACAATATCATTAATTTCACATGCAAACAAGATTCTACTGAAGATTATCCAAAAACGACTGGAACAACACATCAGCAGAGAACTGCCAGAAGTCCAGGATAAGTTTAGAAGGGGTCATGGTACTAGGGATATTGTAGCTAATAATAGATGGATCTTGGCTGAAAGCAGGAAATACCAGAGGAATGTAAATCTGTGTTTCATTGACTATGCAAAGGCGTTTGACTACGTGGATCATAACAAACTGTAGCTGAATGGGAATCTCAGAACACTTGATTGTGCTAATGAGAAAACTATACTTGGGCCAAGAGGCAGTCGTCAGAACAGAACAAGGAAACACTGCATAGTTCAAAATTGGGAAGGGTGTGTGCCAGGGATGTGTCCTGTCTCCATACCTTTTCAACCTATATGCAGAACAGATTATCCAGGAGGCTGGGCTCTATGAGGAGGAATGTGGGGTCAAGATTGGTGGAAGATCTATCAACAATCTGCAATATGCAGATGACACAACCCTGCTTGTGGAAAGTGTGGAGGACCTGAAGCGCTTGCTGCAAAGGGTCAAGGACTGCAGCTTCCAATATGGATTGAGGCTCAATATCAAGAAAACAAAGATTCTCACCACTGGGCCAATTGGCAGTATCAGGATGGATGGTGAAGAGATTGAGATTGTTCACAGCTTTAATTTGCTCGGCTCCACAGTCAACACTTTGGGCACCAGTAGCCAGGAAATTAAAAGACGTATTGCTACGGGAAAGTCTGCTGTTAGGGACCTCTCCAAACTACTGACGAGCAATGGTGTCTCTCTGGAGACTAAGGTGCATCTGATACAGGCCATGGTCTTTGCAATCACTTGTTATGCATCAGAGAGTTGGACAATGACTAAGAAGGATAGAAGGAGAATTGATGCCTTTGAGCTGTGGCACTGGAGAAAAGTATTGAGGGTACCGTGGACTGCTAGGAAAACAAACAGATTCATCCTGGAAATGGTCAAGCCGGGCTGCTCCTTGGAGGCAAGGATTCTGAGGCTCCGTCTAACATACTTTGGACATGTTGCAAGGAGGGACTGGTCCTTGGAAAGGGACATCAGGTTTGGTAGGGTGAGGGACAGCGCAGAAGGGGAAGGCCCTCTATGAAGTGGATTGATTAAGTGACTGGGGCAATTGGGATGGGTGTATCAGAGATGGTGCGATTGGCACAGGACAGAGTAGAGTTTAGGGATGTTGTACATAGGGTCGCTATGAGTCTCAAGCGACTTGACGGAACATAACAACAAAAACAACAGAGCACAGTTCAACTTTGCCACACATGTTATCTATCAATGTGAATTAAAAACAGACTTCACTCCAACTATTCTTAACTACTTTCATGCCTTCACTGTGTCTCAGAGAGACTGAGTTCCTGATCCCTCTATGTTGAATCTTATTCCTACTGCTAAAAGCCCTTCCCAGACCATCAATCATGTCCCACAGATGTGGGAAAGCAGGGAGATCGACACTTAGGAAGAAATGGATCCAGGGGACTTCTGTTCTCTCTGTAATGGTTATTTATGGGGGAAGTTAAAGCAAGAGTGTAAAAATATTAAAATGTCACAAAGTCGAGCAGTAGATACACAGATTTTTGTTATATTACTATATATACTTTCTCTATATGTGCACTATTTTCCTAACTTTTTTTGGTGGGGCGGGGAGGAAATGATGTAACAATGAATATTTTTTTAAAAGCAAACTGGAAAAGTAGGGAGAAAAATGTACAACAATAAATGAATGAAAAATCCAACTTTTCTGTAAACTTTTGTTAAAATCACAATTAAAAAATTTAAAAAAAAAAGAAGCAAGGTATCAAGCTGATAGAATCCTAATTGATACTGGGCTCTCTGCTCTCCTCCGGGGCTCCAGGTCTGGGACAACCCGTTCATCAGCTGGAACCCAGAAGAGTGCGAGGGCATCACGAAGATCAGTGTGGCAACTGACAACTTGTGGCTCCCAGACATTTTCATCATCGAGTTGTGGGTATCAAGGACTGGGGAAAGCCAGAGGGAATCCCCACCTCCTGCTATGGGCACAGTTCACAGTCTGTACAGGGTCCACTATGCATTGACTTAGATTGCTGGAAAATGACCATGGAAGTAAAGAGGTATGAAGGTACGATGTCAGGAAAATCCCAGCCCCAACCTCCAACCTCATCTGTCTTACAGCATGGATGTGGATAACACTCCAAAGGGCCTCACAGCATATGTAAGTAATGAAGGTCGCATCCGGTACAAGAAACCAATGCAGGTGGCCAGCATCTGTCGCCTGGACATCTTCTACTTTCCCTTTGACCAGCAGAACTGCACACTTACCTTCAGCTCATTCCTCTACACAGGTGAGTTGCAATGAAGTATCAGAAATGGAATGAATGAGAGCAACCAATAAAGCAACAGAAAAGCAGAGTCAACAGTGACCAATGTTGTTGTGTTGTTGTTACTATGTGCCATCGACTTTGAACTGACTCACAGCTGACCCTCCAGCAGGTTTTCAGAGGCAATTTAACTGCATAGAAGGAGATTGCCCATCCTCCTGTGTATCAGCTGGTAGATTCAAACCATATATCTTTGGGACTGCAGCACAGTATCTTATCACTAGGCCCTAAGCAATGGAGTATAGGAAAGCAAATGATAAAATGCATGAGATATTGAAATATTTCCCATGAAGACAGAACCCAAGTCTGTCATGTTAATTACTATCCTTGGCTCCTAGATAAGGCCCTAGTTTATAATTGTTTTTGGTGTTAGGTGCTGTTGAGCAGAGTACAACTCATAGAGACCTTATGAACAAAAGATCTGAACACTGTTCTATCCTGTGCCATCCTCACACTTCCTGAGACACAAGAGCCCATTGCAGCAGTCACTGTGTCAATCCACCTGCTTGAGAGTCTTCCTCTCCTTCAAGAACTCTGGCTGCACTCTCTCCAAGACATACATGTTTGTTCTCTTGGCTGTCCATGGAATGTTCTTTTACAACAACACACAGCTTAAAGGTGTAAATTATTTTTCTGTCGTCTTTATTCGTTGTCTGGCTCTCAGATGCACAAGTGATCGGAAAGACCATGGCCTGAATCAGGTGCACCTTAGTCCTCAAACTGACATCATTGCTCCTCAATAAGTTGAACAGGTCCCTAACTGCAGATTTTCCCAGTGCAAATGATAATTGCTGAAGGAAATTATAGAATAAGAGAGCCACCAAGAAACTGTCTTTGAATAATGATTTGTACAATTTTTTTTCCTTTTTAGTGGATAGCATGTTGCTTGGCATGGAGAAGGAAGTGTGGGAGATAGCAGATATATCACGGGACATTGTGCAGACCCACGGGGAGTGGGAACTCCTGGGAATCACCAAGGCAACCCCCAAGATGTCCTTGGGCACCAACCTCTACGATCAGATCAAGTTCTATGTGAGCTCCCTTGGATTTCCTCCCTTCTTTCTTGGCTTCTATTTTTGCCTAAAATCACTACCAAGCAGGCATCTCCCTGGTCCCGAGGTCCTCTTACTACTTTTATCTGAGACCAAGAACCTCCTCTGAGATCAGATCCTCTCTCCAGCCCCGCTCTCCTTCCTAAAACCCATGACCTGCCCTAACTTTCCCTCAGCACCTCTTTATGAAGCTGCTGCTCACATGGTTTCTGATTGATCCCATACGTCAATTTATGAAGCGGCATCTCACTCAGCTCTGGTCCCACCATGGCATCGGGCCAATGAGAAGGGCAGAAACAGAAACACAGTCACAATTCTTTCTGGCAGCCTCGCCTCAGAATCCTATATCCTTTTCACCTTTCCTCCTTTACCCCAGCAGGTGGCCATCAGGCGGAAGCCCAGACTCTATGTGATAAACCTTCTGGTACCCAGTGGCTTCCTGGTTGCCATTGATGCCCTCAGCTTCTTCCTGCCGGCAGAAAGTGGGAATCGAGCCCCCTTCAAGATAACTCTTCTGCTGGGCTACAACGTCTTCCTGCTCATGATGAATGACTTGCTCCCCACCAGTGGCACCCCCCTCATCAGTATGGTCTCTTCACGCTTTGGGGAGAGAAGGGTGGGAAGGGCAGGGAAGAGGGCATATTGGGAAGAGAGGCTCTGTGTCTCCCAGGGTAGCACTGGATAAAAGGAAAGCAGCCCTCAGCAGTCTGGGGCCCTCATCCGGGCATGTCTTCCCTCCCACCCCTGCCAAGGTGTCTACTTTGCCCTGTGTCTGTCCCTGATGGTGGTCAGTCTCCTGGAGACCATCTTCATCACCTACCTCCTCCACATGGCCACCACCCAGCCCCCACCCATGCCTCAGTGGCTCCACTCCCTGCTCCTGCACTGCTCAAACCCCAGGAAATGCTGCCCCACTGCACCCCAGAAAGGAAATAAGGACCCGGGTGTGGCCCACATCAGCCTGCCTGGTAAGAGAAGTCAGCACCGCCCACACGCCCTCCTCTAGTACTTCCCCTCCCCCTTCCCTTCTGCCTCCTCCTCTGTTACCTCCCTCCTCCAGGGCGGCCTTCCTTCCCCACCTGTGGATGAAACCCTGTCCTCTCCACAGGCCTGAAGGAGCCAGAGGTGACGGCAGAGAAGATGCCCGGCCCTAGAGAGGCAGTGATGGATGAGTGCCCTGAACCAGCAAGGGCCCAGCAGGAACACGAGGCCCAGAAGCAGCACCTGGTTGACCTGTGGGTGCAGTTCAGCCACGTGATGGACGCCCTGCTCTTCCATCTCTACCTGCTCTTCATGGCCTCGTCCATCATCACCGTCATCGTCCTCTGGAACACTTAAGCAGAACCCCAACCCAACCAGAAAAGGAGTTGTCCCTTTTCTAGCACCAAGTCTCACAGCTCTAAAAATGACCAAAAGGGGATGTTGCCTTCTATGGATCTGATTCAAGCCCACTAATTATTCTCAAAGAGAGCTCTGGTGGCCTAATGGGTAGTGAGTTGCAAAGGTAGACAGTTCAAATCTGCCAGATACTCTGAGTGAGGAAGAAAGGCAATCTCCTCCCATGTGATTTTCAGGCTCTGAAAACCCACTGGGGAGTCAGTAACGAGTCAGTTCCAACTTGACAGCTATGAGTTGAGTTTGAGTTTAATTACCCTCAAGGGAGCCTTGGTAGCTTACAGTTAAGCTCTTGGTTGCTAACCGGAAGGTCAATGGTTCAAACCCACCAGGAAGAAAGACCTGGCAACTTGCTCCTTGCAGATCATAGCCTAGGAAACTATGACACAGCTCTTCTCTGTTATAAAGGTCACTGTGAGTCAAAACTAATACTGAGGCATACCACAGCAACAACTAGTCTCAACACAACTCCAGACAGTTTGCCCTTGTCCCTGCATTCTGACTACTTTCCTGAGCCCTCCCTCCTGGTTCTAGGTTCTTATGCCTTCTGCTGAGGTGTGAATCTAGAAAATGAGAAGTTGCCAAAAGCAAAATGGATTGTCTAAGGCTGGCATTCTAGGTGGGCATTAATGAGCTGGGATGAACCGGTATTGGCCATTTTGATTCAAACAATCAGTCCTGAAGAACGTCAGAGTCATTGCCAAAATTACGTTTCTAGTTCTGTCCTGACGTACAATGCTGTCATGACAGGATCATACCCAAATTCATTCAAAGAAGACTGGTAGGAAAACTATTAATCAAATAAGCGTATCAACCACTAAAGCCAAAGAGGAAGACATGGGATTTCTATTAATTTCTGCAGCCTGAAATTGATGGAATGTGCACGCAAGATACATTAATAATAATTGGTGACTGGGATGTAAAACTTGGAAAGAGAAAAAGATTGGTAGTTGAAAAAGATGTCCTCTGCCCACCAGCTTGCCTCAATAAACCGTTTTGCAGACAACCTGTGTGCCCTGTGCCTGTAGTTAATAAGATTTGATGTCGCAAGAGATGATGATGACATTTTTGTCCTCAAGTCTAGTGTAACAAGTGTTATTTTTGAGAGGTTTTTACTCTGCTCCCCCATCCTCAGAGAGTATGAATCTATAGTTTTAAGACAAAAACTGAAAAGGCAGAACCCATTTTAAATTATATTTTTCAAAGATTTCACAAAAGCCTAATACATGTCTAAAGAGATTTTTACAATGCAATTGTAGATGCCATTTAGATGACAACATGAGCTGAGAGATTTCACGTTGTTGTCATTGTTGTTAGGTGCTGTTGAGTTGAATATAACTCATAGTAACCCTGTAAACAACAGATCTGAACCCTGTCCTTTCCTGTGCCATCTTCACAATCTCAAACACACTTGAGTCCATTGCTGCAGTAATCACGTCAATCCACTTAGGTAAGGGTCTTCCTCTCCTTTACCACCTCTATAATTTCCCAAGTATGATGTCCTCCAAGGAGTAGCCTCTCCTAGCAACATCCCAAAGTATGTGAGATGAAGCTACTCTATCTTTGCCTCCAAGGAGCACTCTGGCTGCACCTTCTCCAAGACAGTTAACTCTTGGGATTTAAAAAATTAGTAAGTGAACCACTACCTCATTGGGAAAGTTTACTCTTTCAACCCTTCCAATTCTTTCAACCTTTTAATTGATTCAATGAATCTTGTGTTGTTAGTGATTGAACTCTGCCACTCATGGTTCAAAGTTCAAGAAACAGAGTGACTCTAAGAGTTTGCCACCCTAACAGCTTGGACCCTTGTCACTCCTTCTCTCTCGCCTCCTAATTCACCCTGTCCACTGTTCCCAAATAGCTCAGCCAGTGGCCTGGATCGACAAGCTGGTTTGATGACCTACTGGAGAAGAAAAACTCTTCTTGTCAATTCTAAGAACGAGCACCTCTAACTAAATAGATTCTTACAAATAGAAAAATCTGCCATGTATATTTTCCAATAAAAAATTCCCCCCTCTGTCAGTTGCTATCTCCAAAATGGCAGCTTCGGTAATTCACTGGCTTACCTCTGTAGGGGACAACGTTAAGCTCAAGCACAGAACACCCTGGTTTACAGGTTCCAGACCTAAGCTTTAAAAAAAAAATACTGGTTTATTTACAAAGTTCATCTACATTGTTTTTCACACTGGACCTTTCCCATTTCCTTCACTGTCCCCCCTTCACCCATCAGATTGTGCAACCCTATGATTAACCATCCTCTACCCCCTGCCCATCCTCACCCCTCTGCTCCCACCTCCCCTTGGATTCTCATACTCATTCTACAATAAGGGGGGGGTTTGTTTTGTTTTCCCATTTAAAAATTTTTTTTTTCGTTTATTACTTTTAATGAACGTTTACAGAGACTTAGAGTTTCCAGTCATTCATTGTTGCACTTTTCTCCCTGCCTATCCCTTCCCCCGAGTTTACTCTTCTACTTGAAAAGAAAAAGAAAAACTATTTCAATGTTATACAATCCTTCCTCCCAAGTCCACTCCACTATGCAGCCTTAACTCTGGACTTCTGTAATAATAAGAATACCCATTCATATATCCATTTTAAACAGTTCTGGTTTACATCAAAAGTTCATAAAATTCATACAGATTCTTTTTTACACTGGACCTTTCCTCTTTCCTTTACCAATCCCTCCCTCCATCTATCAAATTGTGTGATCTGATGTTTAAGTTCCCCGACCCTCGGATCTTCATACAAGCTCTACAATAATGGTCTTATACAGTATTTGTCCTTACAGGACTGAGTTAGTTCACTCAGCATAATGCTCTCCAGTCCCTCCCAAGTTAGGTAGTAATTTACAACATCATTGCTCCTGCTTGCTGTGTAGTATTCCATTGTGTGAATGTACCATAATTTCTCAATCCGTTCTCCTGCAATTGGACATTTGGGCTGTTTCCATGTTCTTGCAATGGTGAAAAATGCTGTTGTGAACATTGGTGTACAAGTCTCCACCTGTGCCTCAGTTCTCATTTTCTCAGGGTATATTCCAAACACTGGAATATCTGGGTCATATGGAATTACTACAATCAGCTTTCTAAGGAAAGGCCAAAATGCCTTCCAGGGTGTTTTACCACATTACAATCCCACCAACAGTATATAAGAGTTCCTATCTTGCCACATCCTCTCCAATATTTATTACTTGCTGTCCTATTAAACTTTGCCACTGCTACTGGAGTGAAATGGTACCTCATTGCAGTTTTGATTCGCATCTTTTTTTTTTTAA